ATAAAGGAGACGCCAAACGACCTGTTTTTGCTGAAATGACTGCTTGGCAGAATAAAGTACTCCTCCCCCTAGTATATACAGTTATATTGTATAGAATTTTTTTTAAAAAAACACAAACTGAAACTTCAAATTTTCTTTTAAAATTTCAAAACTTTATTTTTTAATTTTTTAATGCTTTTATTGCTCGTTTAAAAATAGATTTGAATTGCATACATGTAGCTATTGATGTTTTCTGCTTTTAATAAAATTCCACGTAGTTTTCTATTCATATGTTTAGTCAACGCTTGAGATCGTAATTTTATCAATGTTTACAAAATGAATCGTCAAGTCTTGGGAAAAAATGAATTGTCTAATTTGAGCTTTATCTATGTCTATATCTGTCCAATAAATTATCTTATTCATTTTGTAAGTCTATGGCTACGCCCTTTATGTCGGGCAAAATAGTCTGTCACCCCGCAAAGATTATTCTCAAGTTTCAGACCTATCTGTAATGAACGTACAAACGAACTATGAAATACTTTTGATTGGTATGAAGTTCAATCGAACATGAATATTTATTTGATTGAGCTATGAATGAAACGTTCCACCTCAGCATTCATAAATGGCAACCATATAGTTCTTTCATAGATAGTTAAAAGATTTCTCCGTGGGAACCAATAAACTTCGTAACCACAATCAGTTCAAATCGATGTTATTAATTGTTAGTTTTATCTTTATTGTTATGATAAAGCTTGCTAAATGCCAAAATAAATTCAAGCAAAGCCGTAGAACTGATTGATCATTCCCGCATTCCATTTGTCACAGCTTATTTCTCAGAAGTAAATATTCCCAGTGAATGCAGTATTTTAAATAATGTTAATATGCACTTAAAACTATATATGTTATATTCATATAAGGTTCACTTAGACTACGTTTACTAGAAAAAAAAAGGAACAATTAACTCATTAAATATATATATAAAGACTTATTATTTGCCATTTTTTGCTGATTTTTGCCAATAGGGTATGATTCAAATAAGCGCGTTTCGACATTTTTGGTTTTCTATTGTTACATTTTTAGGTGTTTTATTTAAAAAGTCAACTAGTGTCAAGGAAAAAGAGTTTGGTCTTTGGATGCATTGAAAAGCTCGTTTTGGACTTGTAAGTTCCTTTTCATTGAATTGCAGTGTCGTAAAGAAAGTTACCCTTCTCGGAATATGTTTTGTTAACAAAATGATAGCCATGCTTAAAAACTTCCACTCAAAGCTTCCACTTGAAAAAATGAAAACCATGTCTATAGATGTCTATACATCCGGAGAGGTCTAAAAGCAATATTGATTGTGTGCTATACACAACAGTAATAAATGAAAGATCTTTATTCTATCGGCACTCATTTTACTACAAACAGTCACATCTGACAAATGTCCTTATACATACATAATCTAATAAATACGACAAAATGCGCTTTATCAATAATGCTTTCACGCAGTTACATATATAATCCATATTTCTAGGCAATATATTGGCTATAGTATATATACTCGGAGATAATACTAAAGACGAAATACTTACTATTACCAGAAACTCTTGGATTGAAACGGTGTAAATGCGTCCATATAATACCGAATACGAGTACCATGTTATCACTGTAAAAAATGATTGGCTAACATAACCATATGATTGGTTAAAGTGGTTAAATGCATCTGAGTAACCAATTTTTATGGTTATTTTAACCAATTAGTTTTTACAGTGATTATATTTTTGCTCAAGTTTTCAAGGAATCTGGTTACTAAAACAATGACCACCACACACGTGACTTTTTTGCACTCAAAAGTGAAAGCTCTTTTGGTTGCGTTTCTGTGGAAATAGAATCGAAAAAGATTTTATGCCTGTCAGCATTGGGTTCAGGAATTTAGAGCAGGATTGGTAAAGCCAAAATGAGAAAGTCTGCCTCTGTATAAACTCTCGAAATGTGAAATTTGAAAAGCCGGAAGCTATAAAGCCCAAGTTTATAACAGCTTCTTGAGATAGAATGTTATATGCAGTGCGGTGTTTGAAATTAAATCAAAATATGATCTTCGCACTTTTTTTTATTTTATTTTCTTGAGAGCTACACATTTTCCGGAATGTGGATCAACAATCGAGACTAAGGTCTATTTCTGCTGTTGTATTAAGCGATGACTTCTTTTGCCTCGTGGTTTAGTAGTTGATTAATTTGTAAGACTAAATATTGTTCTAGAACTTGTTCAGTTTTGTGTGACTTGCAAGTGCATGGTTATAACAGGGTTGTGCTTATACATTCATGTTAAATAAAATAGCATGCCTAAGGTATGAGAATAGTTTTCGAATTAACTTACGTTGTAACCATGTAGTTCACCAAAAAGTTGTATTGCTCCAATCACTTTTTTTAAATAGTTGACTTAACGTACTTAGGTTCTCCAATTTTCAGAAACCCCCTCGAAATGTCACTTACATATATCACGAATTGTTTGATGTCACTGACATTTTCAAGCGTCATATATAAAGACCTTATGGTGTGAGAAATATTTGGGCTGGGACAGTTTTCCCCCCTTGCCGGCGCCATTACTTTTTTAACATTTAAAATTATTCTTGGAGGTAGCTATTATTGAAATCATAGCTTTTGCATGTTAACAAGTCTACTATTTACGAAATGAAAGATGTACACGGTACTATCCCTTCCCTCCTTCCTACATCCCGTCAAAAAGTATCTCAATTGAAATTTGACCTACACAGAACTTTGAAGGAATAATTATAAGTTTTTGGTAGGCCACATAACATATATAATACAAAAAAACAGCAAATGAATCCAAGCTCCAACAAGTACAACGTCTTGTACCCTTGTAAAAGATAACATCCAATTATACATTGAGTGCCACAGAGCTAAATGGGTGGGGATATCAAATTTTTAAGTTTATATCAAACTCATCATCAAATAGTCTGTAAGTTACTGCAAGATTACTTTCTTGGTCGATTTCTGGAATTTAACAAAGGGCATCCGGGCCTCCAGTGACATACATCTTTTCTTAGAAAAACATATTCCGGGTGGTGATTTGTATGAATGTCATCATTGTCATGTATTGAATAATCATTTTGGGTGCTTGATTTCGTTTGAACAATGGACAACGCATTGACTGTTTAAAATTTTAAGCTTTGCTTAAAACTTAACTTATGGATACTCAAGGCACTACCTTCAACATTGTAAATTATTCCTCATCCTCTTCTTTTTTTAGCCACCTAGCTTGTATTGTTTTACTTCACTACGGTTTTCAGTCAAAGGTGATCTGTTTATCAGTCGTATTAGTATTAACTCCGTGATGGATGATTATTCAAGTAGCTATGGAGTGCAATTTCTACAAGTCATTAAAATACTGAACCTCGGTCACTCTCAGAATGTATGCTTCAATACATGATCGAGAGGCGATATGCTAACATAGCATTACATTTCTGGCAATAAAATGCATGAATTGACCATTTTACACAAACTGTACATATGTCTTATCGGTGGATAATTTCGCGACTTTTTATCGAATTCACTGAAATATATGCTGAAAATAATTGCAGTTTGTTTTTCTTTTTTATAAAACTTGATTGAATGAACTTTAAACAGTACATTGGCAAAACTACAAAAAATCCTTTTCATGATAAAATCTATATATCTTTTGCCCTGTTGAGCCGCTAAATTGGATTATTCATGAGGCCCTTACCTAATATGTATGCGTCAGCAATCTTTGTCTATATATCTATGGTTGACAGCAAAGAGTCGTGTTTGCTGCTGTTGAAAATAATATTGCCCTGTAGATTGTGGCTTATGTTGCTGTGATTGCAAATTACTCTTATTTATTCGATACACAATCATTATCGAATCATTGTCTTTCTTTTTTCTATCTCCATTTCTTCGCTTGGTTGCTGGCTTATTTCCCTTTTTTCCAACACCTTTACTGGAGTCGAAGGTGACAAGAGTTGTAAGGTTAGTGCGATTATTTTTTACGTTCTAGCCATGCAACATACTCTTTTAGGCTATTTGTTTTTTCCATTTATCACTGTTCGTTTAAACTAGCAAAGTTTTTCATCCCACTCGTAAAACCCTTCACTATAAGCAATCTCATCATCAAAGACTCTTTCTTCTTTGTTGAAGAAATCCGAATTTACCAGAAAGTCACTCATCAAAAACGGTTTTCCTTCACGTATAATTGACCAAATCACACGTCACTTCCTTGACAACACCTTTGCCCCAAAACCATCTTTCTTGACTGCTCACAAAATGCTCATATATTTTTGTCTTCCTTTCACTGGGATGCACTCCCTTCAAATTCGCACACAAGTCAATGGCAATTTGTTTTCCGCCCTTCCCAACGTATCTCTTCTTTCTTCTCCTTTAAGAACAAAATTCCCAAACCTCTGAGATCTGTTGTAGTTTATTTATTCAAGTTTCGAAGCTGCAACGCCTCGTATGTGGGCCAAACCACACGTCATCTACACACCAGATTTTCGGAGCACTTGGGAATATCCCCCCCCTGACAGGCAACCAAGTTTCTCACCCTGCGTTATCGAGCATTTTTGCTTACGTTAACGCAACTGGACACACCCTCAATTTAGACGACTTAAAAATAATCTCCTTATTTAACGATTCCTATGAGCTCTCCATTCACGAGAGCCTTCTAATCAATAAATACAAGCCTTCACTTAACGTGCAAGGAAGCTCCATTACTCTTAAGCTGTTTTAATTTTACTTTATTTTACTTCCTAACTTCTTTATCATATAATCCATTTGACACCGCCTCCTTTAGCAGTAATTTAACACCTTTTGTAAATATAATATCTTGTCTTAACATCCTATTTATTAATTGTCTGAAGATGTCTTGAGTAAAAACCAAACGTCACAATAAGTTCAATTTTACAATTTTTGGCCTTTTTCTATGGCTCTAATTAAAACTTTATGTTGGGCATTGATTTTTATTACACGAATAACGCAAAATGTGCAATGTTATAACAAGTGGAAGTTTAGTAATACGTTTTTGCAAGCATATCCTTCTCATAAAATCTCCCTGATCTTTTTCCAAATACGTCATCAAGAAAAATATTTTGTGCTGTGTCCGAGACATTCGATTTTCTCAGTTGTAATATACAATTTTTGCGGAAATGCCCAAAGCATCGTAAATGAATTGCATAGCACATACTGTTCTTCATGGCGCTGATCAAAGCCTCTTCCCCATCTGTCCCTATGGCAAGAACGTTTTTTATGTTTCTATTAAGGGAAGTCAATTTCCCATAGAAGTAATCATACACTTCTGTTGTATTGGTTTGGCTAATTAGAAGAGGTCCTATTATTAAAGGATGATGACCTTCTCTTCTTGTTACAACTTTAAATTGCGATACGTCGTAACGGTTAAAATGAAGTTTCCTAGATTGAATGTGGGATCTGCAAAAAATATTACAAAGTTTTGAGGATCAGTGCAGAATTGCTCGATCTCATTAAGCTGCCAATCGTAACACAGAAGACATCTGAGTTCAGGAGCAGCTGATACGTCACAAATAAAGGGATCTTTTCCTTGGCTTAATTGCTTCCTCTTGCACTCCTGGAGAAGAACAGCAAGAGAGTCAACTTTTTAAAACTCATGATTTGCTTTGTTTTGGCTCGGCAATTTTTGGCTTGCGTTCTGTTTCGGGGAAGGTCACTTGCTGCACTGGCACCTAAGGAACCACCACTTTCTTTGCTCACACGATGAAAGGTTCCTCTAGGTCCAGATGTTTCAGCAACTTCTTTTACTCTTTTTAATATGCTTGGTTTTGTGCAAATATATCCACCCGCTTGTTTCTGCCGCGAGTTCCCATGAGGACTGGGCGTAATTTCGTGTATTTCTCCATCGAAGATATACTGAACCATTAATAATGCTTTATTTTCCACATGTGGGTTGCAACAAAGGAAGTGAGCATTTATAAGTAACATAAATAAAAAATTACAAATTTTATCCTCAATGAAAAGGAGAAATTGGTCATAGTTAAAATCAATGCCAGTAAAATGATTGTGTCCAAAACGTTTAAAAATTCCTGTACCTTCTAGACATGCCACGTACTTCTTGATGTCAGGAGATGTCTTGCTTTTGTAATACATTCTCACCGATGTATAGAAACCTTCATTTTTCTTGGTTTTACATTGACCTACTTCACTTATCCTTCCCTCAGAAATACAAAATCGAGTCTTTTTCACCCCATTGTTTTTCCAAGGTCCCATATCGTCACATTTCCAATCATCCCATTGTTTAAATTCAGAGGCGTCAATCAAGAATGTAACGTTATTTGATATATTGGTGGGTGTTGACTCTCTTCTGGCGAGAGGACTTCTTTTCCACTCTTAAATTACAGAAGTGATAGATTTTCCTTGTAGTATCCATCGAAAACTCTATACAAATAGCAGGGAAAAAAGCGTAAGAGCATTGAGAAACGTAGGTATTCAAGCAGATTCATTCATACCCTTCATCACTTTCGCTCATTGAACTTCTTTCACTGAAATATTTGTCATGGACATAAACGACAGCCTCTTCGGAAATGTGTTGTTTAAAATGTAAAAAATTACAAATGTTGATATACATTATTCATTATGTTCGAGTACAGCGATTAGTGATTATCAAATTACGTGTCATTGTCGGTATTAATTTTCCATTGTGTTTACTCTCAAATTGCTATTTTGTATTTGTGTATGACACAATGGCTTCAAGTGCGACTGCGATTTGCTCAACTGATGTTGATTTAGTAAATACCTTATTAGCTAAACCGTTCTCTGCTCGATCGTCGGTCGAACAGAATGTTATCGTTCATGAACGGCCTACTCCTGATTTAACTATCCAAAATAAGGGAAGAGCATTTCAGAGAGATTGGTATGAGGCGAAGGACTGGCTGTGTGGCAGTACAACCTTGCAGAAAGTGTTTTGTTGGCCATGTCTAATGTTTTCCCCAAAAACATCGCCATCGTGGACTAAGAATGGCTACAACGATATGTGGAGTATTATGTCTGATGCTAAGAAGCATGAAAAATCTAAATCGCATTTGACTGCTTTTAAGACATGGAAAACGTATGGAGCTAGTGAACGAATTGATTGTCTTATGTCCCTCGCTAGAAGAAATGAGATTCAGCGTCACAATGAGGAGGTAAGACAAAATCGAGAAATTTTAAAACTGTTACTGAGGCCGTGCTGTATTTGTCAAAGCAAGAGTTGCCATTTAGAGGTCACAATGAGTCCGAAGGTAGCTTGAACAAAGGTAATTATAAAGAGTTGCTCGAATGTTTTGCTAAGTTTGATTCTGTATTTGAGCGTCGACTGCACAGTAGACTAGCAGAATCTGATATAGTTGGTGACAGAAGATTTACTGGAGTCTCCCAGAAATTCAAAATGGTCTTATCAGCTGTCTTGATTCAATTATTGAAGATGAAATCAGAAAGGAAATAAATGATTGCACATTTATGAGTATTCAGGTTGATGAAGCATCTGATGTCTCCACCAAAGAGCAGCTAAGTGTTATTGCTCGGTTTGACAAAGCAAGTGAAATTATGGAGAGGCAATTAGGATTTGTGGATGTAAGTATGAACAGAAATGCCACAGCAATATCACAAGTTGTCAAAGATAAACTTGGTGAGTATTCTAATATAAAAGAAAAACTGGTTTTACAAACATATGATGGTGCTTCCGTCATGTCGGGCCATATCAATGGTGTTCAAGCATTGGTTCGACAAGAGTATCCTTTTGCTCATTTTGTTCATTGTGCAGCTCATAGATTGAACCTGGTCCTATGTCAGTCAGCCTCATCAATTTCTCCTGTTAAAATCTTTTTTATTAATATAGCTACATTCAGCACATTTACAAGCAATGCCCCAAAAGAAAAGCTTTTCTCACATCTAACAACCTTGAGTTTCCTGCCCTGGTGAAACAAGATGGTATTATCGCTCTAGATTAATCAATGTATTGCACAAAACTATGAAAACTTTTAGATATTTTTGAGGGGTACTTGAACAACCAGCTGGGTGGGATGATGAGTCATTAAGTAAAATAAGTGGCTTACTGCATTATCTTGATAGCTTTCTCTTTTGTTTTCTAGTGTGTGTTTTTTACAGGATTTTAGAACAGTCCACAATTTTGTATTCCATTCTTCAAAATAGGGAAACCCATTTTAACTATGGCATAAGCAAGATTGACAATTTCAAGCAGTTTATTGTGTCACTTCGCACAGATCAAGCTTTCACCGAGTTTTACCAAACTGCACTAGAAAAAGTAGGCCCACCAGCAACCAGAGCAGATAGTAGATACAATTACAAACAGCTTTATTTTGAGATTATTGATTCCATTAAAGGCATGTTAAGTGAACGATTTCAAGATATTAATCAGTTCGAGTTTTAGACCTTGTAAATCCTAAACTATTTACTACATGGAAGGGCATAGTTCCACAGGAGAAGATCAATCTTCTCAAAGATAAGTATAGTCCTCTTTTGACATCCAAACTTTGGAGAGTCAACTTTCCTTCATTTACAACGACAAGGACTTTCACAAAGAGTGCAGTAATGAGGTTCTTAAATACATCTTCAAATTTAATCTCCAGTCGAGTTTAGGTCAAGTGGTAAATTTGTTAAAATTGAATGGTGTGTTGGCAGTGGCAAGTGCTTCAGTAGAGAGGTCGTTTTCTTGCTTAAAAGGGTAAAAGCTATTTAAGAAATAGAATGGGTCAAGGTCGGCTTAGCTCTTTGTGTAGAATATCTATTCACAAAGATATCATTGAAAAGAAAGAGGAATCAGAGGTGTTGCATAACGAGGTGGTTGAAAAATTTGTAGAAAACCCAGGAGGCTGGCCTTTCTTTATAAATGATGAGTATAGTATGTGTTTTGATATTTGTTCGTATAATACATGGTACTTCATTGAGAAAATTAAGCATAACTTTAAAGAATAAAGCCATCCCTGTCTACTTGCCCCAATCTAAACAAGTTTAAACTAACAAGTAGAATGCTAAGAAAAATCTCTCTCTATGCACTTTAGAAGTGTCGTATACTATATTATTTTTTGTGCTAATACAAATTTCTTCTGTTTATGCAGGGGCAGTGATGAGTAAATTATGTTTTAGGGGACAATTGTCTCCTGCGTAACGTTTCTCTGAGCCATCTTTAGTACCTTTTTAACTAGTTGCAGTTTCAACGATTGCCACATTAAGAATGCAGCTAACAAAAATGAGTTTTTATAAATTATTTTACAACAAATAATTCGCCCTCGAAATCGCAGGAAATGCTGTTTCCAAGGCTCTGGATTTCAAAATTTTCCGGGGGAGCATGCCCCCGGACCCCTAGGGGTCGCGCCTCCGGCGCGAAGGATTGGCGGGAGTGACTATTTTTCCTAGCTACGCCACTGACGATCATGGGTCAGGAAAGGACAATTTGTCTTGTCAAACTGTACCATGTACGTAGTTTATAAATTTTGTTTTTCCAATTTTAAGAAAACAATCTTATATTACTGAAATCACACGATAAAGAAAATATATATTAACTGAAACCATAAGTACGTAAAAGCTTTGCATGCACTTATGCAAAGAATGTCCTACAGGTAATTTCATTTTTAAAGATAAGATAAGAATATTTGTTAGAGTCTCACTTCTCTGCTGGTTCACATTTCTTTAACACAATTCGTTTTAACTTTAATTCACTGAGGTAATTCTATGTGCTAGAAATAATTACTTGCATCCTTTGATACGAACGGTAGTTATATTGCAAAACATGAGTCAATCCTTCTTTTTATAGATGAATCATCAGCGTTATAGTTTCTCCCGCATTGCAAAAAAAAGATTCAAGCAAATAAACAAAGAACTTGTATATAGCTCCTTAGAAATATTAACGGAAAACTAACCTAGCGACGATATTTCTATTGCTGTGACTAAAAGAATACAGTGAAACAGAATTTTAAATTTGACTCTAACTTATACGGAAATTATAAAGGCTTTTAAATGCGTTTGGCTAATATTCATCAAAAGTTGTCGAACAAATGGCATATAGCTACAGCAAACATGGAAACACGTCGTCTGCACTCAAAAATACTCAACTACCATATTTGAAAAACATGCTTTCGTCATTTTCAAGTCCGCCGTTTGTCAATGTGTTCTTGTATTCGGCTCATGTTAACCGAAGTCTGTATTAAAACCAAAAGATATTGAAAAAATTGAAAATTAGATAGCAGTCGGAGAAGCTTAGACAATGATCTTTCACATTTTGATCCACTTGAAAGAGATTGTGGTCACTATCATCACTCGAAATCACAATTTGTTCCTTTGGATGATTCCTTTCAGCTAATTCTTTATATTTCATTTTAGTCTATAAATATGTCACAAAATATACAGAAAACTGAAATTTCAGAACAGGTTTGTGAAACCCAGAATTCTGAAGTACCTCAGAATCAATTGACATAAATGCACCAGAACGATGTGGAAGAACAGGAGCCCCAGCACAGTATTCTTCTTCATCCCAAGATTGAAATGTTGATGACATACACTATAATGACATGTTAAATAGTCAATATGCGTCTATTTGACTTTATATGCTATATAACAGTTGTTATATGCTATACAACAGATTGTTGGGTACGGTGAGTTCTGAGGTGGCTAATGAGCCCAATCTTGGCAAAGAATGTTCTTGAACACGAAGGGCAAACCAGAGATGCATTTGATGTTGAAGCACTGGCTGCTCTTGATTTCCGCAGCTCACGTTTCTGTTTGGCTTCCACAGTCCGCCTTTCTTCTGATGCTTGACAGCCCTTGAAGATGAGATCGCGCCAGGTTGATCGGTTCCCTGCAAGTTTGTCCCATGTTGCGGTGTTGATGTTAAAGGACTTCAGTGAGGTCTTTAATGTGTCCTTGAACCGCTTCTTCTG